GCAGCTGCGGGCTGCTCTGCTGCGGTCGTCGCCGCAGCTCCCGCTGCTGCTGCTTCTGCTGCTGCTGCTCCCAGCACCTCCCCGCGGGCGTCCCAGGCCCTCGCCGCCTGCTGCTGCTGCTGCTGCTGCTGCATGTGCTGCAGCAGGTCGTGGGCGAGGTAAAGCCTGTTCAAAATGGGCAGCAGCGCAGCAAGAGTCTTTTCCCTTTTGTGCTGCTGCAGCAGCAGCAAATCCCTGCCCCTCGAAACCATAAAGAAGGCGCTCGCCTCCGAGGGTTTCAAAACCCTAAACCCTAAACCCTCGACTGCCCCCGCAAGCGCCGGGTGTATGTACACCTCGTCCAAACCCCACTCCCGCTCCTCCACAAACCCCACAGAGCTCAAATGCAACTCCAAGTGGGGGCCCCCGGGGGCCCCCACTTTCTTTGCAAACATTTCCCCCCCACAGCGGTCCCCGGGGCCCCAGGGCCCCCCGGGGCTCCCGGGGCCCCAGGGGCCCCCGGGGCCCCCGGGGCCCCCGTGGGCCCTGGGGCCTTTTTCTGTACCCTGGGCTCCTGGGAGGCCCCCAGCCAGCACTTCACTCCAACTAGAAGGAAGGGCCCCCTGAAAGGGTCTCGGGGGGGCCTCTCTGGGGTCTTCTTGGGGGGCCCCCAGGGGGGCCCCCGGGGAGGCCCCTGGGGGGGCCCCCGGGGGGCCCCCCTTTTTGCAAAAGGAAGAAATGAATTGGGGAGGCGGTAAAGGAACGCTTCGAATGTCTCTAATAGACAGACGCCGCCGCCCAAACACTGGCTGCTGCTGCCGCTGCTGCTGCTGTTGCTGTTGCTGCTGCTGCTGCTGTTGCTGCTGCTGCTGTTGTTGCTGCTGCTGCTGCTGGTGGGTGGAGAATGCTCTCGATGAGCTGCAGCAAAGCCAAGGGGCCCCTGCATGCACTTGGGGCCCCCTGGGGGGGCCCCCAATGCGCCTTAAGGGGGGGCCCCCCGGGGGCCCCCAGCGGCAAGCAAGCATTCCTTGAGCCCACGTGTACGTACACCCTGCGTCCCAACACAGCAGCAGCAGCAGCAGCAGCAGCAGCAGCGGCTGCCGG